AGATTCCACAGTGCAGAGCGCTTTGGGAGCTGAGGACATAAACAACAAACCAAGAGTCCGAGTTTGCTTAAATAGAAAACTTTGTGTGCAGTTGAAAGTTCATAGTTCCGGATTTACGGATCAACCAATGTTTTTTGGCTGCTCTGTTTATCGGGATTTCTCAGCCTAAATATTACAGAAAAAAAGCAAAAAGCCAATAATTTATAAAGTCTATAATGTTATAGGATTTAAATACTTTCCTAATGATTCCTGTGAGACATGACATTATAGTTGTGTAAATACTGTACCCGTTCGTACTCCTGGTACTTGAAGCTAAGCTGTGCCATGTGTCTTCTTAGAAAAAAATCTGATTTAAAATTGGTGGTTTGGCAGGTGGTGACATCATTACATACCGCTTTTTGCGCCAAAATTGCTTTTTACATGGTTAGGATTGGTAAGGATATATTGTTTTTATACCGTAAATCCGGAATTGAAGCCCAGTGGGCTTAATCTTGAGATGAAGGCCCCCCCCCCCACTTTTAGTTTGCAAAAGTAGCCTCGAGGAGAAGCCCATCTTGAAAAGAAGCCCATGGGTGGCCCAAAAGCTTCTTTTTGAGATAGTACAGTACCAACACTGTACATGAAAACGATTCAATGAATCGATGAACCCAAAGAGAAGGAGGGGTCCGGGTTCTCCTCGCCAAAAATTTTTTATTCCCAGCTGGCAGGCAATGAGCTTTCCCGACTTCTGAAGTGTCTTTTAATTACTTTTAAGTTCAAAATTCAATGTTTACCCCTCTTGAAAACGGTCTGGAAATTCTAATTACAGTAAATAGTAATTGTGTATGTACCGGTATTTATTTAGAAACAAAATTTGAGTAGTTGTATACGTATTCTTTTATTCCACTAATTGATAAACCCCAAAAAGAAAGGGGGTGGGGTCTTCCCTCATGAAAATTTTTATTCCTAGATGGCGGGAAATGAGCTTTCCCGACTTCTAATCCCATTGTAAGCTCACAGGTCCTGAAAAAAGTAGGCCTAGATTTTTTTTTCCCCTGACCCCCCCCCCCCCCCCCCCCCCCCCCCCCCCCCCCCCCCCGGCCGG